ACCTGGTGGCTCACAGATGCCAAAGACTGTCAGGGAGGTGCTGAGGTCTCCAGGAGAGGAAACGCTTAGATTCTAGCAGCCCTTCCAAGGCCTCAGCTGGGAAGATTGGGTCCGGGAGGGAGCTGGGGTTCTGGACCCTCCTCCGACAGCACTCTCCTTTCTCACACACCCTCCCTGGGCAGCTGGGCACGGAGGCTCTGAGTGCTATCTCCTCATTGGAGCCACAGTGCTGGGAGGACCCCTCATGGTGCTGAGAATTCTCCATCAGCTGGGGTGGGAGAGGCCAGGGTGAGCAGATGAAGAGACTAGGGGACCACAGTTTCCTTAGGACAGAACGGACGCAGGAAGCAGGGTCAGACTGAGGCCAAGGAGATTCCGAGTGGGGGTTAATGGAAAGGCCCCAAGACAGTTCTTGTGGGGCTGGGCCTCTGATGGCCTCTGTCCACCTGAAACTCAGGGGAGGAGGAGAACGAATCCAGGGCCCCTTCTCAGCTCTTTCCATTCCCAGGGGACCCAGGGAACCTGTGGCCTTCAGGGATTGCTTCCCCTCCTGGTGACCCAGGGGAACGAGGAGCAGGGGATGGATCTGGGGGTGTCACACAACGTGCTCCTAACCATTGTTTACATGATCTGCAGGAGGAGCTTGGCCTTGGCCTTTCTGTGTGTTGTTCTCCTAATGAAACATTAACTTGTAATAAGGCGCTGTGGTTTCTCCTCCCCTGTGACTCACTATGCAGCTGAGGCTCTTTGTCCTGCTCTGACCAGCCCCGCAGCCGGCCCCGGCCCCTCAGCCAGCCGGGCTCTCAGGCAGCCATTCATTCCACAAACACCAAGGGGGTGCCTCCTGCGTGCCAGGCACTATTCGAGGCACCGGGGATGCGGAAATCCCTGCCCTCAAGGAACTTCAATTCTGCTGCAGGGAGACAATCAACAAACCAACCAGAAAAATCAAAGCATATGTCAGAGGATGAGAAGTGCTATGGCGAGAAATAAAGCAGGGAAGAGGAGGAGGGAGTTGTGTGCATGTGTGTGTGTGTGCATTCACGTGTGGGCGTGCTTGCGGGCTCAGTCACACAAGATTGTAAACAAAGTGAACACTTGAAGGCGGGGACACGGAGAGCTGTGAGGGGATCCGAGGGTATGGACGGAGGCAGGTGCAGAGGTACTGGGCTGGGTGTGAGCCGGCCATGGTCAGGGGCAGCAAGGACAGAGTGGGGGAAGGGGGCATGGGAGGAGGTGAGGTCAGCAGGGGCTGGCAGGATTGGGAAGCGATCCCTGAAGGCCAAGCAGAGGAATGATCCGACCTCATTCACAGTTAACAGGAACCCTCTAGCTGCTTGCCATTGAGCACAGACTGTGGGGACCCCACCAGTGGGAGCACTTTGGGACATAGCCCAGGGAGTGACCACGTAGGTGGAGACAAGTGGTCAGATTCTGGCTAGAAGGTGGAGCCAACAGAATTTGCTGCGGGGCCAGATATGGTGTGTGAAGAGAGTGGAGGAGTGAAGGATGTCAGCAAGGCGTTTGGCCTGAGTGACTGGAAGGACGGAGTTGCCATTAACAGAGATGGGAAAGCTGTGGGAGAAACAGGGGTTCAGGGAGAGAGCAGGTGCTCAGTTTACTGCATAATAGGTTTGGGGTGCTGTGTATATTTCCAAATGTAGATACTGAGTAGGCAACCGGAAATTCTAGTCTGGAAGTCTGGGCTGGAGATAAGTTTTAGGGCCATCAGCATTAAAAGATGGTATTCAAAGTCTTGAGACAGTCTGAGATCCTGTAGGAAGTGAGGGTAGAGAGAGAAGAGCCGATGGTCCGATGACACTCAGTGCGAGCAGGGAGGCTAGAGGAAACCCGGACAGCTGGTGTCCAAGATGCCTGAGGCAGAAGGCACTTCTGGGCAGAGGAATGAGCAACTGTATCAAAGAGGCTGAGTCTGGCAAGGTGAGGGCTGGGAGATGACCTCTGGATTTAGAAACATGGAAGTCATGGCTGACCTGGTGAGAGCATTAAGAGGGTTGAGAGAACGGGAGAAGGATTGGGAGGAGAGAAGGGAGGAGAAGAATTGGAAATACAGGTCCCCCCTCTTGCTGAAAATTCAAGTTATGCCATTTCATTTTTACAAAAGACCTGCAGTAGCACCTGATTTCGCTAGCCAAAAGAAATCCAAAGAGGATTTTCACTTTTATTAAAAAAAAAAAAAAAAAAAGTAGCCATAGCATCTCCAGCATTTGCTTTGCAGAGAGCTGTAATGGAGACAGCATGCACCCCCAGCAGCGAGAGGAGCCCCCAAGCTCCTTGCCTGGGAACTGTACCCAGCATCTCTGTCATCAAGCAGCTGCAGCTTTGAGCTGCGTCTGTGAGCTCCTGTGCTTTATCTCTATTTATTTTGTGCATAAGGTCGGCAAGATGTGTCCTAAGACAGCAGAAAAACCTAAGAGAGGTCATTTTTGGGGTCTGGGACACTCAAAATCTCTTCCATAGAAATTAATGGTAATTGCTTCTTCACTTTTAGTTCTTCCGTTTACAAAAGGTTTCGTAGGAAAGCTCTACTTCCTGGGGGGGGGGATGCCTATAGTCAGTGTAGATTCCTTAATAGAGTCTTTGCTCTAAATGGGGGTGGCCAGAAGGGGATGTGGGCCAAGAGTGTTGTTGTGTGTGTGTGTGTTTCCAGACAGGAGAAATTCTAGCCTGTTTCCATGCTGACAGGAGTAACACAGGAGAGAGGGCAATGCTGTTGGGGGCAGGAAGCAGGGGGGTGGCTGGAGAGAACTCCCCAGCTTCTTCCCAACTTCCAAGCTAATAAGAGTTGCCTTCTTGAAGGGGGACTGCAGGGGTGCTGGAAATGGCACCAGGCTGGGGACAGGACACCTGGGTCCTGTCCTACATCTGCCACTTACTGGCAGTGGGACTCTGTGGCAGCCTGTAACACCCAGGGTTTCAGATGTGGAAAGCAGGTCTTGTAACATCAGACGCTGCCTCCCTCCCTGAGTTGTGGTGGAGATCCAATGAGGCAACAGGTGTGAAAGTGTTTTGTAAAATGTAAAGGGTGGAACAGATGACTGGGATTATTTTTATTATTCTAATAATACAGGGGATTATTAAACAAATTTAAGAGATTACTGTTTATCCAGCCCTACATGTATATACAGCCTTCCTGCTTAGCAGACACGCTAGCTGTGCCCCGATCCCCATGAAGCCACATAAGCCCCCCAACTCCCCACCGAGGCTCACCCACCTCTCACTCTGCCCAGCAATACTGACCCCTCTTTTTCCATTTGTCCCTGGCAAATGCCGCCCTTTGAAGGCCCCCAGCCTCACTCCCCTCAGTGTGACCCGGCCTCTCTCTTTCCTCCTGGCTGTATTCCCTACCCCATCCTCGTCACTGAAATCTGTTTTAAGTAGGTGCTGCCTGGAGGAGGGAGCGTTGGTGCAGGAGCCAAGAGAAGTTAGCGTGGTGGGGTGACCAACCTTCCCGATTTGCCTAGGACTTAAGGGTTCCCTCAAGAAGTGGGATTTTCAGTACTCAAACTGGGCAAGTTCTGGGTAAATTGGGATGAATGGGTTAACCTAGTTATGACCAAGGCCATGGTTAGTTGATATGCCCTTATCTTGCCAGGAAATGAGACTGGTCATTTAACTTCTTTGTGGTCCAGTTTTCTCCTCTATAAAAGGGAGGGCTTGGAGTTTCACTAGATTCCTTTTCAGTCCCTTCCAGCCTCGGGTTCCAAGCCTGAGGTCATTTCCTCATTCCGCAAATAGTTCCTGAACTCTACTATGTGCCACGCACTGTGCTCTTCCTGTTGACCACTGCACCCTGGGCACAGAGCACTGAGTCTCACACACAGCAGCTGCTCAGTAAAGACCCGTGGAGATGAATGAATGAATCTACCAAAGCCCGTTCCTTGTCCACACTCCTCAAAACCCCTGTTCCTGGTTCTGACCCTTCATTTTTTCCAGTGTGTCACCCACAAGCCTGTGGACCCCATGAATGAGCCTAGAACTCTGGCCAGACTGAGCTGAGCTGAGCATTCCAATGGGGGAGGGACAGGAGGCTCAGGTGGTAGCTCGTGCTGGCAGGGGATGTTTACCTTGTGTGCTCCCTGAGAAGTCACCAAGATGGGCTTGCCCACCTCGGGTGGTAGGGGGTGTCCCGGGGCGGCATCACATTCGGGTGCTTGGAGCCCACCTGAGCAAAGGGCCTGTGGTGGGCTGCTCTAGGCAGTTGTCTGCCCCTGGTGACCTCCTGTCTCCTGGGCCTCTGCTCCAGCCACCCCAGCACCCCCTCTCCATGTGGCCTTACACCCAGATTGGGGCTCTGGAGTCACACCATCCGGGGTCGAAATCCCACCCTCCACTTCCTAGGATTAACGATGTGAACTTGGGCAAGTCGTTTAGTCTCTGAGCTTCAAGCTCCTCATCTGAATCTGATGGTAATAGATCCTATTTTATAGAGTTACGGTGAGGATTAAATGCACATGGAGGGCTTGCTGGTGGGGGGACGTACTCAATAAATATTAGCTATTGCTCTTATTGTCATTGTTATTGTCCCAACACTCTCAGTTCAGTGAGAACCACCAAAAGTGAGCTTGAACTAAGTGCCTCTCTCACGCTTGGGATCTCCCTGGCTCCAAGAAGCCTTCCCAGATTACCCCTAGGAGAGCATTTACTAACTTAGTCCCTGTGGCCAGGGCACCCTCATTCTCCCATCCCCACAAGCAGCACTGGCCTCCCCAGGGCCTAGGGGTGCGTCTTCTCAGCTCTGTCCGAAGCTCTAATCCTGTTCTTATAACCTCCCTCCCTACCCACCCTCTGCCCAGCTAAGCTGGTGTGTCTTGGAGACCAGAGAGAGTTCCCTGAATGTGGCCTTGAGCCCTGACCCGCCCACAGGAGCTTCGTATGGTGTCAGGGAGGAGGACTGTGAGGAAGACAGGGACAGAGGAAGGACCTGGAGAGGTGATCAGAGGCTGAGAAGGCGGGCCCCCCCAGGGAGCCACACTCACCAACGTAAACACGCCTGCTCCCAGCACGGCATACACTGCGTGGAGCCAGGGCACCTGGGGAGCAGACACGAAAAGGGTTTAGGGGGATGGGGTTGACGGAGCAGGGAGGAGGGCTTTGTCCAGAGACCAAAGGACACGGCACAGACCTCCCTGGTGGATTCCATCTCTCACAAGAACTCCCGACCCTCCCAGCCATCCCTAAGAAGCCCCAGAACACAGAGGGGTCCGTGATTCTCTGTAGGCTCCAGGTGGGTCTGGGGAACCCCAGGATGGCAGTGATCATGGAGGGACTGGCAGGGCCGTTCCCAGGTGATGGTACTTGGTCCCTGCACACACAGCCCCAGATTCAGGCTGGATGAGGGAGACTCACCCTGGGGGACCCCTGTCATGCTCCCTGCCTGAGCCTGGCCTCAAGCTGCTGACTTCCCACAGGGCGAACTCATCCCTGTCCTGTGCAGGGTCTGTGTGTTCCTCTGTAGGAGCACTCCTTAGCTTTGTCTGAAGAGGTGAAGGACTCAGGGGGGTGTGGGAGGGTGGGGAGGGTCCTCTGGAGCCCCTGCCAGCCGTGCATGATGGGACTGTTTGCAGAGACAGGAACAGCACCCCTGCCCAACCTTGGCTCCCCCTAGGTCTCTGGGGCGTCCAGATGGGTATGGAAACCCTGCAAGTTTCAGTCGTGCCCCCTCCATAGGGCCTTCCCCCAGAATATTCCTGGAAACACAAGCATCCCATTAGCCTGTCCTGAGTCAATAAAGGGTTCTTTGAAGCTTTGAGGCCCCTTCCTGTAACCGCGCCCCCATCCTAGATACACAGAGGGCCCCCAACCAGCTCCGGCTCCTCCCTTTGTCAACAGGATCCTGGAAAGTGCCAAGGAAATGCTTGAACCAATCCTGATGTCCTGGACTTGAAGCCAATACCCTGGGGGCTGGGGCTGGGCAGGATGGGGTGGGGAAGGGGAGAGTGAGGGATGCTGGCCCTAGCCTGGCAGAAAAGGGGCAATGGGGGATGGGGGGATTGTGCACCAAAGGTGGCTAAGAGGAGCCTTGGGTGGGGGTTGGGGGGTAGAAGCATTGAGCCCTTAGTAGAAGTCTAATAGCCTCATCCCTTGGGTTCCCAGGATTAAACCCCAGTCCCTCCTGTGAGGCCCTCAGTCTGCCCCCTTCTCCATCAGCAGCAGCCTGACTGCCTCAGTCACCACCGGACCCTGTGCAGGTCTAGTTGGATTTCCCAGGGCCAACTGGACAGCTGAGGTGACACTCTAATGGGGTGGGAGATAGGCTCAGAGCCCCACTGCCCCACCTCCTGCCTGCCTGGCCAGCCAGATTCTGTCTCTCTGGACTTGGCTGATCCCTTGAGAGCTCCAGGGCCCTTCCCCAGGGCCCTTCCCCGGGGCCCTTCTGGGCCTTGTGGCCCTCTGGATCTCCTGTGCTCCCTTCTCTGCCTAGGGTTTAAATGTGCTATGCTCCCCCCCACATCCAGCCTCACCTCCCCCCAGAGGGGAGGATGAGAAAGGTGAAGCCGGATGTGGCTCATGGTGCAAGCAGGTGCCCAGGCCTGCCAAGGAAAGCCTCCTTGTTTGTTTGCTTATCCTGCCAACCAGCCCAGGGCAGGTGCCAGGAGGGCTGGACAGGACGGCAAGTTGGAGGCCTTTGGCTCAGGGCCTTCCCTGGGGGGCGGGGAAGGAAACAGCAGCCTTGGGCAAGGGGGGCTCTCCCTCCCTCCCCAGGGCCCGGCTAGAAGACGCGGGACTCACATATTGGAAGGGCAGGAGGACGGCCAGGATGAGGCCACTGAAGAAGAGAGTCATGAGCAGCACGAAGATCACGCTTTGGCAGGAGGTGAAGTCGAACTGCAGGGACAGGACAGGTGTCAGCTGTGGGGCCTGCCCCGGATGGCTGCGCATTTTTGCGGGCCCCCGCTGGGCAGTGTGCTGGCCAGAAGGCAGAGGCCTACACGTCAGAAGCCAGCATTCCTCTTCCAGGAGGCCTCCCCAGACCCCACTCGCCCATTTCACCTCTCCCTAGCCAGGGACCCAAACTTGGAGCTCCCCTCCACCCCCATCCCAGAGGCCTTGCCCTGCCCACGAGCCTGAAGCTGACCTTAGTCTGGAAGCTGAAGACAGTGACAGAGAGGCAGACGAGAGCCGTGATGCCCAGGCACAGCAGCACAGATGTGGTGTTGTAGTAGCTGCAGGATGCAAGGCCAGGAGCTCAGCTTCAGGCAGGCCTTCTGGTCTCCCCGGCCCTCCTCCCAGGCCCACCATCTTCGTTAAGTACCTGATCCCTTGACCTCAGGTCCTCACCCTGCCCCCTTCCCAGTGTCCTCCCTCTCCCTGCTTTCCCAGCCTCTTCCCTGAGAGCCTGCTTAGACTCAAACTTCTGTCAGAAGGATCTTGAGAATGTGGGAGTGGAGGAGGGTGGGGAGGGCTTGGTGCTGCCGCCAAGAGGTGGCTCACAGGGAATGGGGTGACCAGCCAGTCTGGGGTCCTCCAAGCTGCAGCTCAAGAGGTCACCTTGCTCCTCTCCATTCCCCACCTCTGCCCCGCTGACCTGGCCAGGTCCCGCTGTCACTGTTGAGTGGAATGTGTGAGGAGAGGGCTCCAGGCCAATGTTTCCTGCCTGCCTGAACCCCCTCTTCATCTGACTGCTGTCTGAAGGGATGTGTTCGGGAGCAAATCCCCTCAGAGTGTGGCCCTTCCCCCTCCACATGTTCCCTTTACCTGGACAACATCCCAGTGAGGTAGGCCATGGACAGGGTCTGGAAGGAGAAGCAGGATGAGGGAATGCTCCAGAACTCAGCCTTCGGGGACCAGATACCTCCAAGGCCCAGCCTGGGTCTCCACCCCTGGTGTGCACCCCTCAGCTCTGTGTCTGCCTCACCCCCACACACACTCACTTCCACAGCTCAGGCCTGGTTGAGGAGTGTCCTGACAGGCCAGCACTAGCTGTCCCCTTTGTTCTTTGGCAGCCCTGTTTCCACCTCCTCCCCACCTTTCTATGACCTACTCTTCATTATCGGTAGCTCCTAGGATGCCTCATTCAAACCTCTTAAAAACAACATCACAAAGAAGAGAGACAGTGGATAGAGTCGGGGGAGACTAAGCCCATCTGGAAAGAGAGAGTGGGACGTCTCTGTGGCAGAAGTGGGGTGAGGATGCTCTTGCTTCCACCAGTGACCTCACGTTGGCCATCCCCAGCCCAGATTTCCTGGCCCTCGAAGCCCATCCTCTTTCCCTCCCCCCACCATCTCCACTCAGTCTCTGTCCCCAGCCACCCCTACATCACTTACAAAGATGGTCAGAAGAATCAGGTTCCAGGGGAAATGCCTCCTGCAAGGCAAGCCACCAAGGTCAGAGGAGAATGGGGGGTGGGCACCAACAGGCATAGGCCAGGGTCATTGCCATGGGGAGGGGTTCTTGGTCTCGCCCCATCCCCACTCCTCAGAGCCCCTTCCTTCAGCCACATCCTCAGGCACCCCCATCAGTGGATCCATGCCTTCCTGTTGCTACCTCAGAGGCCCCAAGTGAAGGAGGGAGGGGCAGGCTTGACGGAGGCAGAGGATAGAGCCCTCTCAGACATGCATTGTACCCTGGGGGCGGGCAGGACAAGGGCCTGAACTTTCAAGACCCTGCTCTGTTCCCACAAGTTGCTCCTCGAGCCATCACCTACCTAGGTCCAGAACAGCAGGCCAGGGTCAGATAGGTCGCAAAGAATACAGCGCTGTGAGAGACAGAGGGATGGGCCAGTCAGCCCTTGCCCCAAGGTCCCTCCAGCCAATGCCCTGCTCATTTTCTCCTCTCCGCCACCCCTGCCCTCAGGTGTCAGGCAGTAGGATCGGGCGAGGGAAGGGGGTTGAAGACTACAGTCATCCTAGAACCTGGCAACAGGCAGGGGGGCCATCCAATCCCGAAAGACAGGAATGGGCATTGGATGAACTTCAGGAAATACTGGGTCAGGGGTGCCATGGAGCAGCGCAGCTCACACCCGGTCCAAAGTGGCCTCCCCAGCCGCTCAATACTCCCCAGTAAGCTTGCATACGGAATTTCCTGTGTACCAGGCAGAGTGCGAAGTGCTTTAGGACTAATAATTGATGTAATCCTCGAACCTTCTTGCCCCAGAGTCCTAGCTTATAACCACTGCCCTACACTGCCTCAGTCAGTCCTCTTCCGCTCTGCTCACGACTTGTCATCACCTTGTTGCTTTGTTGCTGGTCTCCCCAACTAGACTGCAAGTGAATCAAGGGACGGGCCCTCATCTGTCCTGCCAGCGCCTGGCCCAGGCAGGAAGTACTAGTGACGTGAATGTCCAGATCAGGAGGCCATGTCCCCCGGATGACCGGCTGGGAGCTCAGGTGCCACCCAGCAACAGGGAGGGCTGAGGACTGAGAATTTTCTAGACAGCAGTGGAGGTGAGGACCAGTCTAGGAGGTGGAAGACGAGGGGCTGAGGACTCCAAGGGTGTGTCCATGCCTACCTAGATTGGTGCCATGGTCTCTATCCCCCAGTGGGCCCTCAACAGGGTGCCTGTGCATTCTTGCCCTTCTCCCTCCTTGGTTCATCACCTATCCCACCCACCAGCAATTCCAACCATCTTTCCCCCACCCACAGACATCCCAGGCTGCCTCACTCCTGCATATCTGGCCTGACGCATCCCAGAAAGATTCGAGATGACGTGGGGCTCCCTTGGTTCCCCGCCTGCCATCTGCAAACACCGTACCGTGCATTTGTGTGCCCTTTTTCCTGTCCTTCCATCCCCGGCCCATCGCCCCAGCCTCGGCTCCAGGCCCCACCCACTCAGCTGTCCCACCATCTCTCTCTCTAATACCTCAACCTTTCTGCTGATGCCTCTCCTCCCACACAACCCTCCGCAGCTCTTTCCCATCTTCGGCCAACATCTTCACCAGTTCCAGCTACGGCTACTTCATCCACCCTCCTGGAGAAGCTTCTTGAAACAGCTGTCCCCATTTCACAGTATCCTTCTCCATCCCTGCATTACTCCCCAACCCCACAAACCCAAACCCAGCCCCACTTAATGAGAGCCGGCTTTGCCACAGCCCTGTGACCTTGTTGAGTCCCAGCGACACTTGTCAGTCCCTGTCTTAACCTGACTTTTCAACATCTGATCACTCCCATTGTTCCCCTGGTTCCAAAATGACACACTCCTGGGTCCCCTCCTATGCCCCAGGCCACTCCTTCCCAGTCGCCTTCAGAGAATCTAAATAGTCCCCGTTCCTTTGATACAGCGTCCCACCCAGGCAATGTCCCCTCATGCTCTCCCTGGGGGCTCACTCCCCCACAGGACTCCCTGTAACAGGCAAAGGCTCACGGCTCCCACACCCTTGTTTCTCATCTAGATGTTCCTTCTCAACCCCAGACCTGAACAGGCAACTGCCAACTCGGCAGACACGGCCATTCAGAAATGTGCCAAACCCAACAGGTCAGGAGTGAACTTGTCCTCCTCCCTGCCCCTGATCCTGAGTCTCCTCTTGCAGAGGACACTACGCACATCCAAGTCGCCCAACCAGAGAACTCTGCATCCTTGACTCTCACCTGGCCTCGCCTGATTAATCATGGGGACCTGCCAATACTCCTACCCAGGCAGCGTTCAGATCTGTCACCTTCTCTCCCTGCCCAATATCACCCTTTCAGGTGGGGCCGCCTCTCTCTATCTGGTCCTGTTGCCTCCAGCCCTCCCTTTCACCGTTTAAGCCCCAGATAGACCCGACCCCGGGACTCCCTTGTTTAGAATTCCCAAAGACCTGGCAAAGTCCTGCTTGATCTGCCCTACCAACCTCCTCCCTGCCTCTGCACCCTCTTAACGCGCCCGCCACCCTCTGCTCCTGCTGGGAAGGACCAGCCAGCAGGGATGCCCGAGGCTTGGGTCAGAGGGGGCTCCCTCCGTGCACCATGGACATTCCTCAACTGCAGCCCACGCCCCACACCCTACGGGCCTGTTCATCTGAACCTCCCCCCCCAAGACGTAACATCTGGTGTGACCTACTCATTTTGCATTCCTCAGATTAACCCGGGGCCTGGCAATGGTTAGGTGACCTTTAAATACATCTGGATGAAATCCAAAAGCATAGGGGATGTAAGGGTGGAGGAAAGCCTATTGGATTTAGCAAATAGGACCTCTCCATCATCATCTTCTCCTTTACTTCAGCTGCTCTCAAGTGATGGGGGACAGTTGCCCCAGTGACTGAGGGGTTCTTAGTGCCAGGGACCAGTGAGGGACAGCAGAATCATCCGGTTGAGAAACACTCCAGGATCTGCTCTCTTCTGGTCTCAACTTGAGTCACTGGTCAGTCACGTTGGCAATATTGATGATGATAATAATAATAACAACAACACCCTTGTCTATGTGCGTCCTGGGTGTGAGTCCTGCCTCCCTTGCAGACTGGGAGTATCCGAAGGGCAAGAGCCCACCCAGTCTCTTTCTCTTCCTGGCCCACAGCTCCTCAGCTCTCAAGACCAGGGATCAGAGGAAGGGCAGAGGGACATCACCCCCTCAAGGTTTACGGCACCCTTTTGGAGCCCAACACCCATATTCTTAGCCTAGCTCTACCACTTTGATTGTGTGACTTTGAACAAGTTACCTAATTGCAGAGCCCCCTCGTTTCCTCCTTTGTGAAACAGCAATACTAGTACCGATTCACGGAGCTGTAGCAGGACAGAGAGTGCGCACCCCAACACTTAGCATAGGGCCTGGCACAGGGTAAGGACTTGAGAGTGGGAGTTGTTACTACTATTAGACTGACAATTTATTAGACTGACAATCTCCCAGAGAGGCTCTGACCCACCTCTCCTGGCTCTGGTCTCACCGTTTCCTCCTCTGCCTGCCAACCTCCACCCCCCATGCCCCCAGCCCCAACTCCTTCCCACCACCAGGGCCCTGAGGGAGCAATCAGACAATAATCAGACAATACGGCAGGAGCCCTGCTAAGGGAGATGACTGGGTCCTCGAGAAGGTGGAGAGTGGAGAGGGGTGCTGGAAGGCCGCCATCCCTGGGGGCAGAGAATGAGTCACAGAAGTAAAAGAAAGAAACTTGCTTGTCAGTGCTGGGGCCCCAGGGCCTGGGCTGGAGCCAAGGTCTGTTTACGGAGTGTCAGAACAAGGGAGTGAGGCTCAGGTGGAGGAAAGCATCCAAACCCAGTGTCCTCCCTCGGTGTGTCCCACTCTAGGGCCAATCCCGGGGCAGCAGGGAGGCAGCCAGCACTTAGGGGAAGTGCGCAACACTACGCGGCTTAGGAAGCAAGAACTTCTCCACGAGCCTCACGTCTTCATCTGTAGAATGGGGATAATCCCAGTATCTGCCTGGTAGGCTTGTTTTCAGGATCAAATGATAATACCTGGAAAGCGCTGACACGGTGCCTCACCATGGGAAGAGTGGTCTTATTCTTATTGCTATTAGGGGCTTGGTATGTGGTAGGAGGTGAGACCCATGAGGTCTCAGACTCAGAAGCAGGTGCAGGGGGGCAAAGGGGAGAGAGCTGAGAAGAGAGGAGGGGCTGGGGCGGGGCAGAGCCACAGGCTGGCTTTCTGGAGAAGAGGGCAGCATCCTGGTGGTAGAATTCCCAAGTACTTCCAAGGCTATGTGACACTCCATAAAAAGCGCAGCGTCCATGCCCACTCCCAGCGTCTCTCTGCCCACCCCCTGCTCCCCCGACCTGGGGGGAATAACTCCACTTTCTGTCCAGAGACGTGGAGGTGGAGGACCATTCAATCTCGCCATCCACATCCACATGCCTGCCCTCAGTGGGGTGGACTCTGCCCCCACTTCTGAGTCTGCTCATTTCTGGGCTGTGTCCCTGCCACCGTCTGCTCAGGACGTGGAGTCCTGCCGACCCTCCCACAGAAGGCCTGCTGAAGGGCCTAGGGACTCCATTCCCGAGTCCTCAGGGCACCTGAGTCTGCCAGGCGGTGCTGACGTGCTGGGAACCATGCCAACCTGCCATGTGGGCCGGCCCGGGGGCAGTCCCTGGGGTCTCATTAGCTTACCACACAGTGCCTTCCCGTTCCCCTAGTTGTATACCTTTTCGTCTGGTCTGCAGACAGGCCCTCTGTCCTACGCCTTAAGAAAGGTTCCAGGTGTGAATGTCTCCTCCCCTGGGACTCCCAACTTGACTGAGCCACCTCTCCACTCCTCTGCTCCTCTAAGGAGCTGTAGAGGCCAGGACGACCCTCCTTCCTGTCAGTTTATGGCTGACTTGTGTTAATTCAAAGCCCGCTCTAAGACTGTTCTGGACTTGGGGTGGTCCAGGAGGCCAAGCCAACCTCTCCACCCTATCTCCACCCAAAAGCAGGCCTCGCACAGCTGGAGGGTGCAAGCTCCTCACCAGACATCCAGAACTTCCGCCCAATAAGCCTCCACGGCTCTCTGAGGTGTCTGAGATTCCCTTACATGGAGCCTTCCAGTCCTCCGCCAGTCTCATCCCTTATTTACCAAATGGACCGCAGGCTGAACAAGACTTAGGTGAGAGCAGTTCTGCTTTGAGCCCAGGGTAGTTCTGGCCTAGAATTATCCAGAATGACCCCTAATTGCCCAGATAAGAGGGTCAGGAATTAGCTACCCCATCAAATTTCTTCTCTTAAGTTACCTGCCACGCTCCAGAGGACAAGCAGGAGCTGAGTGGCTCGAGAGGAAGGGAACCTGCCAAGCAGAGTGATGAAGAGCACAGGCCTCAACCTGAACCCTGGATTTGAATCCCCAATCCACCACTGACTAGCTGTGTGACCTTGGGCAAATTACTCAACCTCTCTGAACCTTCAGTTTTCTGAGGTAACCCTTCCCAGTTGACTCGAGGATCGAATGCAATACTGTACATCCAGCACACGGAACAACGCCCAGCCCTTATTAGGCACTCCGTAAGTGGTACCTATTATGATGAATAATTCATAGGTATTAATAACAACATTAATTAGAGTAGCAACATCATCATTAGTATGGGCCAAGGTGTTCCAGGCCCCCTTCCCCTCAGGGCCAAGGTCTGGGTCTCTCCAGCTGGGGCCCCCGCCCCACCCTCCCTTCTTTGTGCAAGCACCAGAACCTCAGTCTGCTTCTTCCCTCTGCCTCAGATCTAAACACCAGAAGGGCCCTTCTGGCCATGCTCTTGTGAGGACAGTCTCCCTTTAGGGTGGAAGGAGCCATGGGCTTGGCTGCTGTCAGGGGAGATTTCCCACCTTGTGCCACTGTGGGTTCTCTGACAAGGGGCCTGGAGGCCTGGGGTATACTCACTAGGATGCCCAGTACCATCCTGGGTTGGCCTGGACGTAGTCCTTAACGGGGTCACTGCAGAGAAAGGAGGGGGGAGAATCAGAAAGTGCCCTCTAGCTCCATCTCTGCATCCACCCTCCATGGCTCCCAGGACTGGCGAGGAGAAAGGGGGAAGGCACCCCTGGGGGCACAGGGAGCCCCTGCCACAGTCCTGGGCTGGGGTGGGGAGGTGCCGGGTTGTGGGGCTGGAAGATCTGAGGGGATGACTGCCTCGTGGACACCTGATGGCCCAGAAACCACCAGGTCCTCTCCACCCCCTGCCCCCGAGTGGAGGACTCCTCTGTGGGCACTCATTGAAGTTCCTTCCCGGCATGAGGCCATCTGCTTAGCCAAATCGCTTAGCCAAACATTCCCAGAGCAGCCTGGCCTTGCCACGGCTGTCCCTGGAAGGTGCCAGGTCCATGCCACCAACTCACCAGAAGGTAAAAAGAGCCACGACACCCAAGGTCACCAGCAGCTGGATCAGCAAGATTGTATAGACCTAGGGGTGGGAGGGAGTTCTGTTCAGCTTTGGGGAGCCCCATTTGTGGCCATGGAGACTTGGCCCCCCACTGAGGCTCGGGGGACCCCAGCTTCCCAGTGACTCAGTCTCCTCTCTAGACCTGCATCCTGTACCCTCCACTCTCCTTCTTGGGGGTCGCTAGAATGGACTAAGGACAAGGTATAAAAAGAGCAAAGATGCTCCAGAGCCCACCCCTACAGGACGAGAGGCCCCAAGCATTTAGAAAGAGGATGAGACGCTGGGTTAGGCACAGCAGAAGGAAGTGGGCTGAAACCTAGGAACATGCTTCCCAGTAGGTACTGTCAGCTGGGGTCATAGGAGAGGGGGAGAGGGATGGCCTCTGTACGAACCTGCAGACAGAAGGATGGGCCAGGGCCTTCCCAAAGGACTCCCCCCACCTAACCCCGAGTCCTGGAGAGTTGGGGGAGGTGGTTACCTTTCTGATGAAGACTCGGCGAACTTTCTGGTCATCCCAGCTGAAGGTGGTGAAGAGCTCATGGTCTCCGGCGGGGAAACCATTCTCATAACTAGAGCTGCCTGGATGGACATGGGGAGGGCCATGAGGGCTCCCAGACATTTAAATCATTTAAATGCTGCTCCCAGTGGCCACCTGTCCAGAGTTGACTTTTGTCAAAGTGGCTCTCAGGACTGGGCATGCCTTTCTCTCTAGCCCCGTTCTCAAACATCTCACCCAAACCCATCCCATCCCCAGATCACTCTCCCCACCTGCTTCTCCTGTCTGAGTCCTGAGAATAAACTGTCATCTCCTCTCCCCTTCCTACATGCTGGTTGGAGCTCTCTGGGGCCAAGCCTTGGCAAACAAATAACCACCCTTTCCTCTTTACGTCCCCCACTGTTTTCCCTGAACCTGCTGGCTGTTCTCCCCTTGTGGCTGAGAACCAGAGAGGGACAGCCACTCTCCCTGAGTCACCTAGCACATCCCAGGGTCAAAGGTCCTACCCCAGCTTGCTCTGAGGTCCTTGGGGTAAGAACTGGGGACTAGCTGGGGAGGAAGGACCTGCTGGTACCCCAGCCTGGAAGCAAGGCAAGGGGAAGATCAGAGAAGGAAGGAAAGCCAGGACAGGGCAAGGAGGGTGTGGATGGAAATGAAGTTTGGGGGCTGCTCCCAGAACCCAGAGCCTAGGTATCAGGCCTGGGGAAGAGCATGGGATCCACAGTCAGAAAGACCAACATGCGGATCCTTCCTCTAAGACTGACTAGCTGTGTGACCTTGAGCAAGTCACCAGCCATCTCTGAGTCTTCTCTCTGCTAGGGTCACCGATACTCACCTCGTGGGGACCAAACTAGATGAAAGTGAAAGCCTATGGCTCTGTGCCTGGTAGGGACTCTGCTGCCCTCTCCTTTCCACCCCTCAGCTGGGCCACTCCTAAGACTCGGCTCTGTATTCGTCCTCTGTCATCTCAGTTCCCATTCTCTTCCTGCCCTTTCTCCATGACCTCACCCTCCAGAGCAAAAACGTCAGTTTTGGTCTTTCAAAGCCGAGCCTGCATCAAGCTCTTTGATGGCTCCCCACTGCCTTTTACTCAAGTTCAAGATCCTTAACAAAGCCTCCACAGCCTCCCCTGAGCCCTCAGCCCTGGTGCACATTCCTCCCTCCTACGTTTCTCCAGCTGACTCTATTTTTCCAGCCGTGTGCTTTCTCGCCTCTGGACCTCTGCAGATCATCATCTCCCAGCCTGAACACTCATTTCCCCGTCTCTTCACCAGGCTAACTCATGTCATCCTTCAGGACTCAGTGTGGATACCCCTTTGTCAAGGCAGCCTTCCCCGACTGCCGAGTGGGTTAGGTCAGCTGTCCAGGCCTCTGTCACTGCATACTTGTCTATGGAGTCAGGTCTGGGAGGGCAAGACTTGCAAATAGATGTTTCCCTAGAAATTTAACAGGGGCTGGACACAGTGCTTGGCACACACTTAAAAATGTTTGTCACATGTGGACTAAAATGAGGTCCCTTCCTGCCCCAGCAGTTCCCTGGAAAACATTACTTAAGGCAGCTAATCTTGGCAACCCGGAAATGGAAACTGAGGAAAGGGGAGAGAGGGGAAACCCACTACAAATCTGGGGCCTGGAGGCCCTCACCCTTTAATGTTCCACTTCTCTTTCACATTCTATCTACAACCCCTGCCAAAGCCTGAATGGCCAGGACACAGAGTGGGAGAACAGGAGAAAGAAAGCAGTCCTGTGGGTATCTGGGGCAGTGAGAAGGGTTCCCACAAACACCAGACCTTCATTAGCCTTCCAATATGTCACAGCAGGTGTAGGGCTGCTTAGCTCTGGGCGGAGGGGGTTTGTGGTAAGGGGTGCGGACCATGGTGGTCACTGCTTGTGAGTAGAGGCTCTGTCTGAGGCGTTATTCTTGAGGTTCCTTCTAGAATCTGCTGGGGAGGGTGGGAATTCATAAGATGGGGGTGGGAGGGTAGGTTTGAGGAGCTGCTGAGGGAGACCATAGGGGCTGAGGAAGGTTTGAAGGGGGCCCTTCCTTATAGCTTGTGGGGAGCTGTATGTTCCCAGCCCTGAGGCAAAGCTCCCACAGGCTGCTCATCTTGACAGAGGGGCTCCCACTGGCTGTGATTCTTGGTCTGCAAAGAGCTGGCATTGGTCTGGGTGAGCCTGCCTATGAATTATGCCTGGCCGTGAGAGGCACAGAGGCTGACATCCACACACCTCCCCCACATCGTGTCCTCCTATCCCCAGCAAAGGCTTGGAAAAGGAACGAGAGACAATGAAAGTGAGGGTAAAGTGAACCTCAGATCCCTGGCCCCCAACAGTCCTGGGGTCTTCATGGGAACATGTCCCCACTAAGGTTTCAGGTCAGCCCACATGGAAACACGCCACACCCACACTCACAGGGAGCCAGCCACGGCTTAATACTGCCCCTTCCTATGTCCACTCTCCCTGCCCTCTTTATGCACCCTGTTCTTTGACGAGATCCTTTCTAGAACAGCCCCTGATTCTTCCCTCCCCCTCCACTCCGATCCCTTTATTTGCCCTAGCTTGGTGACTTGAAAAAAATCCCTTCTTCCTCATCGGAGAGTACTGTGACTGCAGACACTGTGTCTCTCCCTTTTCATGGAGTCCTCCTTGACCTACCTTTGGAAGAGCCCTCCAAATCCCAAGCCTCTGACAACAGAGCCTCATATAACAACCACACAATGCATCTATTTACAGGCAACTTCCTCCTACAGGTTTCTCATCTGGTCCCAACACTCCCCTTAATACTTCTGCCTCCAGGAGCTGAGAGACTTACTAGGGTCCACATAGGCCCAGCTGGGATGGAGAGGCACGGCTGACGGGGGTTGGGGGAAGGCCCCTGCCTTCAGCCCCTCCCCAGAGGTGGCCTCCTCATAGGAGGGCGGGGCTGAGGGCACTGCTGGAGTCTCCTTCTTCTCCCCACTGGCCTGCTGCTGCCCCTCTGTCCCGGGGGCTTTGTTAGCCACGGAGATCTGTGGAGTAGAGGCAAAGAGAGACAGTCACAGACAGTCACCAAGGAAAGGGAGTCTTCCAAGTCCTTCTCACAAGCCCCTAATTTCTGGTACTTTCTCACCTGCACTAGAAAGGGTGGGGGCACAGATGAGAATCTCCCTATTTTATGCGGGATAGGAAATGTTATTCAGCCTTAAGAAAATAAAGAAATCGGGGTGCCTGGGTGGCTCAGTGGGTTGGGCCTCTGCCTTCGGCTTGAGTCATGATCTCAGGGTCCTGGGATCGAGCCCTGCATCGGGCTCTCTGCTCGGTGGGGAGCCTGCTTCCCCCTCTCTCTCTGCCTGCCTCTCTGCCTACTTGTGATCTCTGTCTGTCAAATAAATAAATAAAATCTTCTTTAAAAAAAAAGAAAAGAAAGAAAGAAATCCTTCATTTGCAACCACATAGGTGACTTTGGAGGATGGTTACACTAAGTGAAATAAGTCAGACATAGAAGGACAGAAACTGCGTGATATCGGTTATATTGGGAATCAAAAGTAGCCAGACTCAAAGAAGCACAAAGGAGAATGGTGGTTGCCAGGGGGTGGGGGGGGGGGGGCGTGGGGAATGGGAAGATGTCGGTCAAAGGGCACAAAGTTTCCATTGTGCAGGATGAATACGTTCTGGAGATCTAATGTACAGTACGGTGATTATAGTTAACAATACTGAATTGTAGATTTGAAATTTGCTGAGAGGCTGGATCTTAAGAGTTCTCCTCACACACAAAGAAAGGTAACTATGTGAAGTGACAGATAGGTTAACTAGCTTGATCGTGGTGATCATTTCACAATACATATGTATATCAAAATATCTAGTTGTGTACCTTAAATATGTAGAATTTCTATTTGTCAATTATACCCCAATAAAGCTGGGGTGGGGGGAAAGGCTCTCCCTTTTTCTATAGATGGTTCAACTGGGCTTCAGGAAGGTCAGGGTTGGCCCAGGGCAGACACCGAAGCTGGAATAAAAACTGAGGAAGGAGACATTCTTAGGAGAGCCCACCCTTGGCCGTCATCATCCCTGGAGCAGAGAATGGATCAGAATGGTTCCACTGTCTCCCTGCGGTCCAGGGAAGGGCCTGGCACAGAGTAGGCCCTCAAGAATATGATGAAGTGAGTTTCTTTTCCTTAATCTCCCTGTTACCTTTTGCTAGTTGTATTCTGAGCCCTGTTTTAAAATGAGGGAACTGAGGCTCAGAGGGGAAGAATGACTTGTCCAAAGTCACAGACCGACACATAGACCATTGGGCTGCAGAGCCCAAGCACCCTCCACTGGGACTGGTCTCCTCGGTCAGGCTGGAGATGACACTAGGAAAGTGGGGATGGGTGAGCAGGGAAACAGAGAGGGGTTGGGGGGAGACGGGGACTGGAGGAAGGTCCCTGGTAAAGGATCCTGTTTTGGCCTTGTGTATTGGAATCTTAGCCTCTCTCCCAAACCAGAACAGAATCACAGGCTGTCACTGCTAGAACGGACCTCAGAAGGCACCTGGTTCGGCCCCTTCCTTCATCTTACAGATGAGGAAACTGAGGCCCAGTGGGAAATTTTCCATGACAGGTTGAAAACTTAAGCCTATTTACACTCAGCTCTGCTCACTGCCCCAGAGTGTCCACTTACGCTTTGGTGAGAGGATGAGAGCTAGGAGGGCCTAAAGGCCACCCAGAGGGAAGACTGTGGGGGAGGGGCGGTATGAAAACTGAACCAACACCAAAAAGATTGAAACTCAGAAAATGAATGGGAGGTCGCCTGGGTGGCTCAGTGGGTTAAAGCCTCTGCCTTCGGCTCAGGTCATGATCTCGGGGTCCTGGGATCAAGCCCCACATCGGGCTCTCTGCTCAGCGGGGAGCCTGCTTCCTCCTCTCTCTCTGCCTGCCTCTCTGCTTACTTTTGATCTCTCTCTGTGTCAAATAAATAAATAAAATCTTAAAAAAAAAAAAGAGAGAGAGAGAGAAAATGAATAGGCGTCAGGTCTGGCTGCAGAAAGAATGTGTTAAGCCTGAAGGGCCCTAGAGCAAGGCCGCAGAGTTCGTTCTTCGCAGGATGCTTCTGGCTAAGGCAGCCCAGAGGTGACTGAGCACCAGAAGATCTCTGCCTGCAACGCAGCCCCAAGGACCCCTGAACTAGAGGGTTCTTTTCCACCCCCAGAAAGCCTGTGAGTAGGTGGGGGGAATCAGTGGGGGGGAGGGGGGACGAGGGAGGAGTGGGGGTGAAGTTCTTCATTTTCACCAGCTCTTCATTTCCCCCCTTAGGGAAGGGCTTTACAGAGCCCAGGCCTGTGGGATTGGGGCCCTGGCTCACCCAGGGGCCCTCCCGCTCCCCATCCCCCTTCATCACCCAGACCAGAAAGGTCACATCCAGGAAAATCCAGTTCAGCCCACCAGAACCAAGTCCTTGGAGCCCAGATCCAGGAAATGGGTTATCACCTCTGATTTCAGCCCTGTCCAGAACAGGTGCTGCTCACCAGCCCCCACCCTGCTGATCAGCTCCAGAGCCTCCAGGGCCCTGCCCCCCTACACACACACACACACACACACACACACACACACACCCATCTGGCATTCCCAAGTGAGGTCTGCCCAGTGGCAGGAGGTGGTATCACCCAATGACATCATTTGGAGGTCTCATGAGATCAAAAACAGAGAGAGGAGGGTCTGAGAGCCCAGGGAAGGATGTCATTGGCTCTGAGGCTCATCTTGGTGAGAAGAAGGGGGAGTGTAGGGGAGGGTCCTTTTCTGTTTCCTCTGCCCAATCCTTAGCACCCCCAAAAACAGAGGGCCAGAGGACCCTCCCCCTTTACCCCAGGCCCTGGCTGTTGTATAATTCCACAGGCTGTTGACGTTATGTAACTGTACTAGGCCAGCCAAGTCTCTGCCCCAGCCCCTCCCCTCCATTTCAAACCTAAAAATGGGGAAAAAGAGACGTTTCATCTGGTCCCATCTCGTCCCATGCCTAGCAAAAACAAAACCAAAAATCAGCATCCTGAGGCAGGGTTGTCATGGTAAATGCCTCCCTGGCCCAAACACAAGGGCTGTGTCCAGAGGGGGACTAATGGCAGGGAGTTGGGTGGGGGGTGTCTCTGTGGGGGTGTGAAAGATGAGCGGAGCGGGAGCGGGATTGGGATTGGAGCAGGGGACCGGGCAGGGGAGGCATGGCCCCTCGGACATTAACCCAGGTGCCCTCCACCACTCCCCCCACCACACCGCGGACACCCAGGCTGATTCCTTAAGGGAACCAAGGCACCTGTGAAGGGTCCTAAGATGCCAAAGCGCACGGGGGAGGGGGATATGGAGGTGGGGGGTGGAAGGGAGGGGAGGTGGGCCTGTTGGGCGGGAAGAAGCCCTAACCCATTCTTTGAAATGGGCCTTTAGGTCCTCTGACTTCAACAAGGACCACAGAGGACCTTCGCACAAGCGCCAGGGGCGGATGCTCGAGTGATCCAGAGAGTTCGCTCGGGATGACAGGGAGCTGGAAACCTGAGGATGGAGGGTGGTGCAGGTGGGGGAGATGCCGATACCTTTCCTTGGGTCATGGTGCCGTGTCTCCGGGAAGGGGTCCCTGAGGCAGGGGCGGCCGCTTGGGTCACCGCAGCCTGCCTGCGTCTCTTCCCTCCTCCGCGTGGGTTCTAGCAACATCCACTGCAGCCGGGCCAGGCGGACCGGAACGTACCATTCCAGCGCGGGAGGAGGAGGGGGCCGGGGGCGGGCTGGGAGGCTGCTGCGGAGGCCGCTGCGGATTTACAAGCCCAGGGGGAGGAGGCGGCGCACCTTCCCCTCCCCCGTCCCCTCCCTCCGGTCCCCTCGTCCCGGGACCAGGGAGCGCGCGCTGCGGAGCCGCCCAAGTGGATGGGTCCGCGGGGAGGGAGGAGGCGCGGGGCTCCGTGACACCCGACCAGCTGATGCTGCCTGCCTGGAACCGGAGCTGCGTGTCAGAGCCTCATCCCTCCACCATCTCTGCTGCTGACAGGCTCTCTCCAAGCCTCAGCCTACCCCCTTCCCCCCGCCTCTGGATGCAGCCCCAGATTTCTCTGTCCATCTCCACCTTCCTTCTCCTCTGTTTCACCATCCACCGCAGAGTGGGAAAGTCTCCCACGGCTCGTCTACCTTCCCTGGCTTCTAACAGGGCCCCTGGGCCCTAAGTTCCTAGGGGCCTTTGGGCAAGCCATGTGGGCATCTCTCTTGCCTCCATGTTCCTTCCTGTGAAATGGGAGCAATAGGCTCCTCCCCACCTTGTCACTGAGGCCTGGTGTAGGAGGATGCAGCTGCTGTTTTTTTCAACCATGCTGGACCATTTGACCAGGACTTTACAGAAGGACATCTAGTTCTGTCTCAAAGCCTCTCCAACCTTCATCCCTACCCCTAAACTTCTCCCTTTATGCCTCCATTCTCCGCCTCCATCACCCCCATCTTCCTCCCACTCAGGAGCCTGTCTCATCCCCTTTCCCAGGCTTCTCTTCTCTTCTCTGGGAATCAGCCATCACCAGGCTCTGTTTTCCAAAGCTGCTGCAGCGTCACTGTGGAGTTCGCAAGCTCCAGAGCTGGGCTAGATTCCCAATTTAATCACCCACTGGCCTTGTGACTCTGGCAAGGCCTTAATGTTTCTGAGCTGCAGCATCTCCTATGGAAAGGAGGCACTCTGTCCATCCCAGATGGACCATAAGACACATAAGGTATGGCAGGAGAAGGACACTGAAGGCCACCGAGTGCTGTCAGTATGTGAGTTGTTATTAACTGAGAAATCTCCTACGGGAGTGTCTTGGGGTGCCCCAGGGTGAGGACTCAGAGATCTGCCTAGAAGGATCTGAACCTTATTGGATGGGAATGGGAAACCAAGACCCGATGCAGGGGTGGCCGCTGACCTCCTGCTTCTCTGTCACCTCCTAGCTAGAACCACCTAATGACGGTGAGAAAACAGGTCCCTAGGTGGGCAGGTGGATTACTGAATCTTGATTCCAACTCTGCTCACTCTTTGTGCCCCACCCCATAGCTACCAACTGCCCGCATGCTTACTTAAGCCTAGGCCTTCTTGTCTAGAGGCTCTCTCAGCCCTCGAAACCCCGAGGCCCTCTCCATCGTCCCCACTGTCCCCTCATGGTCCCCCCCAGCCCCTCTCCCAAACCCTTCCTCCTGCAAACTGTCTTTATAAGTCCCCACCCCAACCCGGACACCACTGTGGCCCAAGGGCTAGCTGGTCTACGCTTCCCCTCTCCGAACATGTGTTCTGCAGTGGTTTTCTTCTCCTGTTTGATAGCTCAAGCAACCCCTCCTCCAGGAAGCCCCCTTTGTCCCTGATCCAGGTTAGATGTTTTCTCCTCTAGTCTCATAGCCCCTGGCACATGGCACTGTGGAGTTTCTTTGTCTATCTCCCTGGTACATCCTAAGAGATCCTGTCTAGCAGTTTTCCCATCAGTAGGACTGAGTACTACTGTGCTAGGCACGCGGAATGAGCTCAATAAATCCTCACCATGACTGTTACCCAGACATATGGTGTTACGCAGAGATTGAATTTAGGTAGGCCTGAATTTATTTGTGAATCTCACGTGCTCCCCCTCACCCCATTTACTCCATTCCTGCCACACAAGCCTCTTGGCTGTTCCTGTGGGCTAAGCATGCTGTCAGCTCAGGGCCTTTGCACTTGCTCTACTATCCTCTGCCTGGAATACCTACAGATTACTGCATGGCTCACTTCCTCACCTACTCCTCGGCTCTGCTCACACATTAACTTGTTGCGGTGTCTTCCTGCTCCTGTATTAGTAGCCGTGCTGCCAACACACCCACACCCAGCTCATTGGACAGGCTCTTCCCTGACCCAGCTTTATTTTTCCTTCCTTGGCAATTGTCACCTCTGACACATACCTTTTGTTTAGATTTTTGCTTTCTCTCTCTCTCTTTCTACTAGAATGTCTGCTATATGAAAGGAGGCACTTTGATGGGTTGGTCTATGCCGATGAGTTAAAATACTAGCTGGAATGGATGTGCCAGGTGTCTATAAATGTTTGGATGAGCGAAGTACAATAATATACAAAATCCCTATATTCCTCAGATATTTTTACATTGTCTGTGCTATGATGGCTCTCAGATGTTGGACTCTATTATCTTGACATCACTGATATGTCCCCATTTCATGGTCTTTGGCCAATGCCTGGAGTTTGGAATGTATGTTTCATACTCCGCTGGCTTCTGGAGGCAGTAGGGTGTGGTGTCATGAACTCACACCCCCGAGTCAGGCAGCCTGGGTCTCCCTTCCCAGCTTCTCGACTTGAAAGCTGTATGACTCTGGACAAGTCAGTCCTGTTCTCACAGCCTCAGTTTCCCCATTTGTGAAATGAGAGATAGTGATCGTAGGGACTTCCTAAAATTATAGAGGGGATTAAATCATGATAGAGAGAGAGCTCTCCACACGGTACCCAGAACCTGATTAACTCAGTGTCAGCAGCTAGCATGAGCCTTAAGGGTTCCATAAATGTTATTTAAAGATTTTATTGTTTTATTTATTTGACAGAGAGAGAAAGAGTACAAGCAGGAGCAGCAAGCAGAGGGAATGGGAGAAGCAGACTCCCTGCAGAGCAGTTAGCCCGATGCGGGGCTCCATCCCAGGACCCTGAGATCATGACCTAAGCCGAAGGAAGATGTTTAACCGACTGAGACATCCAGGTGCTCCACAAGTTTTTTTTTTAAAGATTTATTTATTTATTTATTTGTCAGAGAGAGAGAGAGCACATATAAGCAGGCAGAGTGGCAGGCAGAGGCAGAGAGAGAAGCAGGCTCCCTGCGGGGCAAGGAGCCCAATGCGGGACTCAATTCCAAGACCCTGGGATCATGGTCTAAGCTGAAAGCAGAGGCTTAACCGACTGAACCACCCAGGCGCCCCACAAATGTTGTTTAATGAAATAATTAATTTCCACCCTTAGAAGGCAGCTCAGTTCCACTGGTATTCATTCATCACGTGTGTCATGCCTACCTCTCTCTGTGTGACTGTGACACTGCGGTAGAAGCTTTGGTGGTTCAAAGAGCGTTCAGACATGCAGCCATTCTTCAAAGAGGAAAGGTCCATTCAGAGCTCGGCCCTGTGCCATGCTGGGGCGGGAGCAGGCATGGGCAGCCCCTCCCCCCCAGAGGTGCCTGAGGGGAGCCAGGGACAGGGAGGGGTTCTCCAGGGGAGTTGGGAGCTTACTGGGATCACATCTCTGAATCCCTAGCCCAGGGAATGGGCTTTATTCTGTTAACATGAGAAGTGGAGGTGGAGAGAACTTTCAAGGGTTTTTGAGCAGGGGAATAGCAGGTTCAAAAATCATGCTTTAGAAGGACCAAAGTGCTATAGCAACTTTTGTCATTAAAGCATTTTCTTCAGCAAGAAGGGCAGAAGGATCAGCCTGGGAGTAACGTGGGGAGGGCCTGGAGGGGGGCAAGACTGAGGTGCAGAAAGGAGCTTGCAGACTCTGTGAGCTCTTGTGACAGCCCGGAGCCCAGACTTTGGAGCAGACTGGACGAGCCCAAATCCCAGGCCTGGGCAAGGCTCTTTGCTGTGCCTTCATTCCTCATCCGTAGCCTGAAACCTGTGAATTAGTATGCTTAAAGCACTGAGAGCAGAACCAGGCAGCGGACAAGTACCCATGCATATCTGATCATTCAGAAATGAGACAAAAGATCCAGGAGCAAAAAAGATGGAGAGGAGCAGACGGCTTGGGACAGGACCTGAGAAGCGGTTGGATGTGGGATAAAGGGAGAAGGGGGGTCAGAAGAGATGGAGCTTGGAGGCTGAGTCCCTGGGAGAGTCGTGCTTTGGTAAAAGAAAGGAAGGAGCTGATGTGTTTGGGTGGGGTGGTTGAGTTTGTGGTGCCCATGAGACACGTAGGTAGACATGTCCTGTAAGTAGTTAGCTAGAGGCTCCTGGTGCCCAGAAGAGAGGTCCAGGCAGGGCCTTACAGAGCTCAGGGGGCACCTGCATCGCATCCTAGGGGAATGCCTCATCCCTTCCTGCCCCGGAGCCCAACTCTGGGCCCCATCAAGCTGAGCAGTGCAGCAGCTGGGACCAGGCTGGGTTTGGGAGTTTGGGACTCCCTGGTCATTGGTAGAACAGTGGCTGAATCACAGAGTACACAACAACGTCTTGCTCAGTGAGGCCAAGGAGAGAAGAGGGGAGAGCAGGCCCAGAGCAGCACCAGGTGGTGGTGGTGGGGAGTCGGAAGGAAGTTCTTCCCTCTCTCCAAAACCCCCTCACTGTTTCCAATGAGGTGAGAGGGAGAGACTATGGTGACTAATATAACATTAAAAAAATAATTACAAAAAAAAAAAAAGAGAGAGATCACCAGGCAGTGTTGTCAGGACTGCCTCTCAGGGCAGGGGAAGTTGAGGACCTCTGTGTTTCCTCCCCGCTCCTTTCAGGCCAACAACACAAGGCAGCCCACCCCCACCCTCGCTCTGCTCTGCTCATCAGCCAGCTCTGCAGCAAGTGCAGGGGTGGGTGTGAAGGTGTGGACAGAGGCGAGGCTTCTCTTTTCACAGCCATAGCAGCAAAGGGCCAAAGAGAGTGTGTGACTAACTCCAAGTTACATGACATGTTGGGGGCCAAGCCAAGATGAGAGGAGTGCACCTAACCCCAGCTCTGGGGCCAACACGTCAAGAGTGTTTCAGCAACAACACTTATTTTGGGTGTAGATGCACTTGGAGGGTGGTTCTTACATGGACAAAAGCAGAACTCTCCAGG